GATCCCCCACCGAGATCAGGAGTTTTCTGGGGCTGGCCAGATACTATCGGCGATTTATCAGAGATTTCTTCAAGACAGTTGTCCCTTTCACCAGTTAGACCCAGAAGGGCGTTGCGTTCACTTAAGTTCCCGAGCAGAATACCTCATTTGAGACCCTTCTCCAGAGATTGTGCGAGGCTCCCGTGTTGGCCCTTCCGGAGGGAATGGAGGATTTTGTGGTTTATTGTGATGCATCTATTTCGGGTATGGGTGTGGTAGTGATGTAGAGAGGGCACATGATAGCGTACCCATCGAGGCAGTTGAAGCCTCATGAGACGAGATATCACACCCACGATCTAGAGTAGGGGCAGTGGTGGTTGTCTCAAGATCTCGTGTCACTATCTATATGGGGTTCGGTGTACCATATACACGCACCACAAGAGGTTGAAGTATCTTATGGATCAGCCCAACCTTAACATGAGACATACGAGATGATTGGATGTAGTGAAAGATTATGACTATGAGATCCTGTATCATCCGGACAAGGCTAATGTGGTAGTCGACGCCCTGAGCCGTAGAGCAGAGGGTACCCCGATCCGAGACATGTGTTTGAGGATAACGGTGATGACTCCAGTCTTAGATATCATTCGAGAGGCCCATGCAGAGGCCGTGAGACCAGATAACCGCAAGAGGGAGCGGGTGATTGGGCAAGTGTCCGAGTTTGTGACGGACAACCGAGGGATTATGACCTTTCAAGGGAGGATTTAGGTGCCCTATACGGGCGAAGCTCGACATACACTGCTGGAGGAGGCGCATAGATCGAGATTCTCGATCCATCCTGGGGCCACTAAGATATATTTGGACCTAAAGAGAGATTATTGGTGGCCCTGTATGAAGAGGGATGTTGCTTGGGTAGTCGAGAGGTGCTTGACCTGTCACCGGGTTAAGGCCTAACACCAACGTCCTCATGGAAAGTTGTAGCCACTGGAGGTTCCCCAGTGGAAATGGGAACAAATTTCCATGGATTTTATCACCAAGTTGCTGAGAACCGCGTGGGGTGTCGACGCGATTTGGGTGATTGTGGACCGGTTGACGAGGAGCTCTCACTTTCTTGCTATTAGTGAGAGCTCTTCTGCAGAGAAGCTTGCAGAGATATATGTGAGAGAGGTAGTAGCTCGGCATGGGGTGCCGACATCTATTGTGTCATATCGGGATGTGCATTTTACTTCCAGGTTCTGAAGAAGTTCCATGAGGATATGGGTACACGATTGCATTTTAGCACAACCTAACACCTATAGACAGACGGATAGAGTGAGCGGACGATTCAGACACTCAAGGACATTCTTCGAGCATGTGTTATGGACTTCAGTGGAAGTTTGGACACATACCTACCCTGGCTAAGTTTTCTTACAGCAACAGCCACCATTCTAGTATCGGCATGCCTCCTTTTGAGCTTCTTTATGGGAGGAGGTATCAGACCCCCATCTGTTGGGGAGAGGTAGGGCAGCGAGTGATAGGTGGCACTGAGATAGTGCTCAAGATGATTAAGCAGATTCAACAGGTCAGACAGAGTTTACTGACGGCTCACAGTCGCCAGAAAAGTTATGCGGACAAGCGACGATCCGAGCTTAAGTTCCAGGTTGGGGATTTCATTCTCATGAGGGTATCCTCGTGGAAAGGGGTGATACGGTTCAAAAAGAGGGGCAATCTGGGGCCCCGATACATCGGTCCCTTCAGGGTAACCGCTAGAGTGGGTAAGGTAGCATACCGTTTAGAGCTACCTGCGGAGTTGATCTAAATCCATGATACTTTTCACGTGTCCCAGTTGAGGAAGTGTGTAGCCGATGAAACGACAGTTGTACCATTAGAGAACATTCAGGTAGATGCGAGCCTGAATTATATTGAGATACCGATCGCGATTATGGATCGAAAGGTGAAGGTTTTGAGGAATAAAGAGGTGCCCCTGGTTTAGGTTCTGTGGCAACATCGGAAAGGGTCCGAGATGACTTGGGAGCCAGAGTTCGAGATGCGGGAGCAGCATCCGAAGCTATTTGAGGAGAATGACTTCGAGGGCGAAGTTTGATTCTAGTGGGGGAGAATTGCAACATCCTGAGTCCAGGTATATTTTGAGAACCTTGATCGATTGAGCTATTGTCGATTTTGTTCCATATTATAAAAAGAGTGAAGAACAAGTACATGAGGCGTACCTAAGGTGTACGCTTGGCGTACTCATCAGCGTGCATGTGACATGGAGACCACCTAGTATGCTGGGCATACCCGTGAGTATGCTAGGCGTACTAGGCCTAGAGAGAAAACACTAATTTAGGGTGAGTCCCCTATATAAGGGATCTGATGGCCTCACTTCTAGCCACCATTACCAGAGAGAAAACCCTAAGAATGCCTTAACCAACGTTCTAGAGCTTGTGTGTGTGTGATTGATCCTTGAGAGTGTTTGTGTGGTTTTGAAGAGAATAGAAGGTCTTAAAGAAGAAGGAGTTGGAGTCCAAGCTTCTAGATCCGAGCAAATCTGAGTGGGAAGCTTCTTATTGAGGTATAAAGCTTTAGACTTTGCCTTTCCTTCGTTATGATCATGTTATTTAAGTATTTTAGGGTTTTGTCCCCAAAAGGTGGAGACTTGATGAGATCTTGAACTCCAGAGACTAGGACCAACCCCTTTTGAGCATATAAGTAGTGTAATGTCATAAAAATCCAATCTTGGACGTTGAAATCACTCTATGCATGAGTTATGAGCTCCCTTGAGACAAAAGAGTGTATATTTTGAGGTTAGTGACCTTTTCAGCCATACAAAGCCTTAAAGTCACTGACTTTATTGGTTAGGATTTATTAGAGAGTCGGGATCTACAAGATAAGCCAAGGCCTTAACCGTTTAAGACCAAATGAGTGAGAATGAGGATACTGGAGTGTACGCTGGGCGTAAATCCAATATGCGCGGCGTAGGGGTCGCACATCCCCAATGCCTGCATGGTAGCCGAGAACGTGTAGCGTGGAGATCGTGTACGCGCAACGTGCTCCCTGTCATTGACTTTTAGGGTTTGGTCAAATTGTGGACTATTAAGCCTATGGAGGGGTAAAATGGTCTTTTCACCCTTCTGTAAGTGTAGAAGGATTAGTCTAGCTTCTTGAGGGCTAATATTAATTAGGGATAATTATTATGTGTCAGGCGGAGGCTAGACCAGTAGGTAGAGTTCGAGATTTCCGAGTACTAGATTTTCACTTGTTAGCTTACAAGGTGAGTTTTCTCACTATACTTACCTTTAGTGGTAACTTATGTGTGGCCAGAGGGTCTTATGTGTATGTGCTGTGTTTAGAGATATCCTGCTATTTGTTTTGTGATATGTATATTGTGTATTATATTTAGTTGCTGAGATGAGGGACCAGTGGGTCCAACTGAGTTGTGGGACCGAAGAGTCTCACTGAGACACATTGACCGGAGGATCTTATTGAGTTATAGCCTCGTGTGGCTGATGTGATGTGAGTGGTATTTTGGGGAACTCATTAAGCTTTATGCTTACCGTGTTATGTGTTTTAGGTAGTTCCTAGGATCGCGGCAGGACACCGGCATGATTGTACACATTGGCGGGAGATGTTTCTATGATTTTGAGATTTTGATTTACATTGTGAAATGATTGACATTTTAGATACTTGTGTTTTTCAGATTGCGAAATGAGAATTTAATGTGTTTTGAAAATGAAAAATTTGTTTGAGAATTTATGTCATTTTAAAAGTTACAACTTTCCAATATTTTTGATAAAATACTTAAATTGTTAATTTAAATATAACATTTCAGAGTCAAGTTAAATACAAATTTTAGTTCAACTTAAACATCCTAAAGAATATTTTGTGAATAGTTAAAAGTGATAAATTATAATATCTTTCTAAAAATGATTATAAGTTGGTTAATAAGGTTAAATAAATGTCAAATCTAAAGTGTAATCATAAATAAAGTAAATTTCAGTATTAAAATAATATTTTTTTTACTTATAAAGTTATGCCTTTAACTTTTAACATATTAAATTTAATATGTTGTTATATGTAAATCATTATCAGTTTAAAGCTACAACTTTTGAACAGTTTGAATAAAATACTTAAATTGTTAATTTAAATATAAAATTATATTGTCAACTTATATATGAATTTCAGTTCTACTTAAAAACCGAAAAAATATTTTTTAAACAGTTAAAAGTGATAAATTATAGTGCTAAATGCAAAAACTGAATTGTAATCTTAATTTAACTAAAATATTTGCTAAATATATTTTTATAATCATTAATAGTTTTCAAATAACTGTTTAAAATAACTTAGAATACTAATAGTTAAAAATAATTTCATATAAATGATTATATTGTTGTTTTCAAAACAAAAAACAATGTTTTATGTTTTAAATAATTATAATGATAGAAATTAAAACATTAAGGATATAAATTTTTAAAAAAATATAATTAACAATAACAATAACTATGAATAACGTTAAATCATATATTATTTTTTATTTTCATTAATGAGTAACCTACGATAAATCATATATTATTTTTTATTTTCATATATTATTTTTTATTTTCATTAATGAATAACGTTAAATCATATATTATTTTTTATTTTCATTAATGAGTAACCTACGATAAAGGCTATTTAAATGATTGAAATTATGTAATTTTAATATATATACTATAATTCAAAATAATCAAATATATTATATTAACTTATTATACGAAAACAATATTATTATTATATTTAACAAAAATGAACCAATGACATACATTCGCCTAGTAAGTATTCATAAATAAGAATCATATATACCCCAAAAAAAATCCATAGATTTGTGTAGAAAATAAAAGAAGTTATTTTTAAATGTATAGAAACGAGGTATTTCAACAAACACAAACAATATACATTACTAATTACTAAAAATAATATAAACACGTGGAGATTATTGATGGTAGGTAGACGAAGCATGTCTATAAATAGATAGCTCGATGAAGTGAGTAAAGCACCCAAAAACAATGTCTTCTTTCCAATCTCTTGCAACCTTCACTTCCATCACCACCAGAACACTACCAACTTCCCCCTCCAATCGCCGCTCCAACAGTTACCCGAAACAAACCCACCGTTTAAAAGTCTCATGCAATGTCGCACCAGAAGACAATGAGAAGTTACTCGTAGTCCCAGAAACCCAAAAACTTATTCTCCCCAAAACATCTCTCGACACACTTAATGTGGACCGGAGGAACTTGCTCCTTGGCCTCGGCGGCCTTTGCACCACCGTCAACTTAACCTCCATTCCGACAGCGTTTGGCAGACCAATCACAGCCCCTGACATCTCCTCATGCCGTGCCTCAACCGATGGTTTAGACCTAAAGAACGCCATAAGAACCAATGCATGTTGTCCACCTAATTTGTCAAAAAAGGTTAAAGATTTTGTGTTCCCTAATGACAAAAGTCTCCGGATTAGAAGAGCGGCACATAAAGCCCCCGAAGACTACATTGAAAAGTACAAAGCAGCACTCAAAGCCATGAGAGCTCTACCAGACGACCACCCACATAGCTTCGTTTCACAAGCTAAAATTCATTGCGCTTACTGTAACGGCGGATACACTCAAATCGCGACTGGTGACTCTGATAAGATTATTCAGATTCACAACTCATGGCTCTTCTTTCCTTTCCACCGTTGGTACTTGTATTTCTACGAGAGAATCCTCGGGAAGTTAATAAACGATCCCACTTTCGCTATACCTTACTGGAACTGGGACAATCCTGCCGGAATGACTCTTCCGGCATTCTTCGAAGATGGAAACAACAGACAAGAAAAGTTACAAAACCCTGCCTTTGACGCTTTCCGCAACACCAGCCATTTCGCTCCAGCAATTGTCGACCTCGACTACAAAGGTGAAGATAGTGGCGCTCCTTCTGCTAAACAGATAAACATCAATCTTACTCAAATGAATAGTCAGATGATCCGTAACGCCCATGACACACGAAGCTTCTTTGGTGGCAGGTATGTCGCTGGGAATGATCCCATACCTAGAGGTGACAAGTCTATTGGGTCAATCGAAGCTGGTTGTCATACCGCTGTCCATATATGGGTGGGTAACTCAAGAACAATTAACAACGAGGACATGGGGAATTTCTACTCAGCTGGGTACGACCCTTTGTTCTATGTCCATCATGCTAATGTCGATCGAATGTGGGTGGAATGGAAGGGTTTGGACAGAAGAAACAAGGAACCTAAAGATGAGGACTGGCTTAACGCATCGTACGTGTTTTATGATGAAAACGAAGAACTTGTTCGTGTCTACAACAAAGATTGTGTCCGTAATGATAAGCTAAGATACGCTTACGAATTTTCCCCACTCCCATGGCTCAAGAATCGACCTACTCCACGTACTTTGAAATCCAAGATCGCGTTGAAATCGGTGGGAACTGTAAAACAAGTGGAGGACACGAAGTTCCCATTGAAGCTGGACAAAATCACCAAGGTCCTGGTGAAGAGGCCAGCTACCAACCGAAGCGAAGAGGAGAAGGAGAAAGCAGTTGAGCTGTTGTTGATTAAAGACGTCAAGTATAATGGTGGAAAGTTTGTCAAGTTTGATGTGTTTGTGAATGATCAGGATGATGTTAGGGCAAGCTCTGCAGATGAGAGTGAGTTTGCAGGTAGTTTCGCACAGGTGCCACATGGCCCTGGTGACGACATGTTAATGACGAGTGGTGCAAGGTTCGGGTTAACTGAGCTTTTGGAGGACATTCAGGCTGAGGACGATGAGCTTATTTTGGTGACATTGGTGCCAAAGGCAGGGTGCGAGGAAGTTACCGTTGGTGAGATCAAGGTCGAGTTAGTTCCTCTTGACGACTGATCAATAGGAATGTAATCGCATTTGCGCAATTTCATATTTAGCTATTAAATAATCGGAAATTGCATGGTTGTCAGTTTTAAATATCTATAATAATAATCGCCATTTGCATGATTGGCACCTTTGGCTGAATGGCTGGTTCTTTACTTCTTTTGCACTTTCTTTCTCATCTCCAACATCCAAACTTCCCTTGCAGTTGCAGGCGAGCATTTTACTATTATTATTATTATTATTATTATTATTATTATTATTATAACAGCCAAATCGATTAAAAAGGAACCAGGCTAGCTGTACCAATTAAATGCATACTACAAACATTTATTTTTTAATTTTATTAATTTACATTAAAAATGAGTATCATTTACCTCATCTTGATAGTCATTTAACTAAATATTCATTGAATTCTCTGTCCAATATCCATATTATTGACCAATATCCAATATTATTGTGAAGATCTATATGCAAAATACGGGTATAGATAGTTTGAAATAAAAGATTCAAATTTTGGCATATTATGAGTATGTTTGTGGGGATAATGTCACAAAAAGTATTTAGTATGATCGAAATTGTCGGTTTTAATTTTTGATATATTTTTGGTTTGTTTATGCAACAAACTTCACACTTTTTTTTTGTCAGTTTGCCTTTTTACTATAGGTTCTCAGGGTACTATAAAATATTATTTGCGAAAAAAACCCTTAAACTTACAAATAATTTACAAAAAAAAAAAAAAAAAAAAAAAAAAAAAAAAAAAAAAAACCTTAAGATTATAAACATATAAAATATAAAAATATATTCAAAATTTGATAAATCTAAATAGTTTTTTAAAATTTAAATATTAAAAGTTTATATCAAACCAAAATAAATATTACTTTACTTATGTCATAAAACCAAAACCTAAATACATTTTTATCTTTAAGTATGATAAATTTTATATTGGTTTGATATAAACTTTTGATATTTAAATTTTAAAAAGTTATTTAGTTTTATCAAATTTTAAATATATATTATAATTAATACTTAAACTTTTCAAAACAAAATTAAAGAGACATCTGTTAACTAATAATTAACTATATTAAAATAGTTAAACCTTTTATACATTTAAAATTATTTGTTTTTGTGTTTCAGAATAATAATTTATAAAATTATATTTATTTTTATAAAAAAAAATATGTTATATTATTATTTCTGAAATACAAATCTTGTAAACATATAAAAAAATTTAGTTTCCTTTAAAAATATTTACATGGAAATAAGGCCACCATTTAGTGACTAATCTCTAAAACTGTTTTACGAACAATAGAAACATACAACGAATCTAAAAAAACCACATAAATCATAGATAAGAATAAAATTAAATAAGAATATATATCACACCGACTTATCTTGAAAGTAATTTGGGATGTTAGTTAACACTTTCTGAGCACATGTCGAATATGTTTTTGTAGAGTTGTTAAAAATCGAATATAAGTAACAGGGAATGTTAATAACACATATAGACAAGTTTGTTTTGGTAGGAAAACAGTATAAAGCAGTTCCCTTTCGAAATATATTAACTTTACTAAGAATGATTTTATTCTATTTGGTTTTTATATAAAGTTATGTCACTTTGAGAATCCTTAATGACATATTTCATATAATTATTAAGATTTATAATTTTAAGGGTTTCTTGTTAAATATTTGTAAACTTAAGGTTTTTGACAAATAACATTCCATGCTAACCTGGAAAGTTGTTATTATATATACAAAAAAACCCTTAGAACTGACTAAAATAAATAGCAAGTTTGCGGTATAAACGAACCAAAAATCTGTCGTTGAGTAAGACCAACATTTTCGATTAAATTTAAGATTTTTTTTATGGCATTATCTTTATGTTTGTGAAAGAAAATATTGGCTCTTGCTTTGTCTTTGTGATGGTATTGTGATTTCCTATCCAAAAAAGACTTTTTTTTACCATATCAAATGATTATAAAGCATATTTACCAAAACACAATAGTTTAAAATTTATCTACTAAAAGGACTCGGTAACAACTTATTACTAAAAGGTAAAAATAAAAAAACACGCTTTTTCTATTGAAATAAATGAAAGCAAAACAATTGAAGTCTTACCAATTAATGTTGTTCCCCGGTCCCCCACCACCCCCCTCCCCTCCTCTCATCTTTCTTAGGTTTCTATGTTCCAATCCTTTTTTTATGGGTCCTCCTATACACGAATTGTTTCGTGTATTACTTCCAAATTAGTAAACTAATATTATAAATTTTTGAAATACAATCATGTTGCGACTGATGCATTCCCATTAAGGGGGTGTTTGGATAGGAAAAAAAAAAGATGCTTATTGCTTATTTCCACAATAAACGAATTTAAGTGTTTTGATAAAATCTAGCTTATCAGGCTAAATAAGCTAATTTTAATAAGCATTCCTCCCCATGCTTATTGCTTATTGCTTATTTCTACCACAAATAAGCTATAAGCAATAAGCTAAAAATCTAATCCAAACACCCCTTAAATTCTATATTTTACTTTATGCCCTTTTTATTTGGATTGATTTTCAAAATATACATACCTCAAAGTTTTTATTTTATATTTAGTCTCTTTTTATTTTAGTAATTTTGAAACAATTAACAAATAAAAGTTGTAAATTAACTTAAGAAATCACAATCTATTACATACGTTAAAAAATACATTAATATTATAAAATTATTTTTTTGTTGAATTAATATTCGTTAAACTAAATTTGTTTCATGATTTGTTATATATAAATGAATGTATATTTTTTAGGCAAACTCGCTGTAATAGTAAAATGAAAACTCCAATAATTAAAGTTATAAACAAAACGAATGAATATTAATGATTTTTTTTTTTATATTCGTTCGTTTATATTTAACCAAACAAATAAACGAATATGGTTGAATTGATGAACGTTCAATTTGTTTACAATCATATATATATATATATATTTAGTTTATATTGTTTCTAGTAACTATTGTGTGCCAGAATGCACAGATCTGGACCACTGGATGAATAGAATCAACAGTCATGATCTGAGGGTCTATGATATTACCATAGGGAAGCATGTATTATATAATCATACAAATTTCAGCAAAAGGGTATGTTGGTCAATTAATTTATTTTAAAAAAGGAAATTTTTGGATTTTAAGGGATCATTAATTCCCTTATTTTTTTAAAAATCTGAATTTTTTAAATTAATTCTAATTAAATTTTAATATTATTTTTAATATCGTAGAAGTAGGAGGGAGAGAAATGAAATTATAAATTATTACTACTTTTCACTAATAATGATTGATATTGTGATTGACGTTACTCCGGTTTGATGTATTTAGAACTTTTATCGTGCATTTAGAATTACCCTTATTAAAATAATATGTGTGCCGATAAAATGTATTAATATGTGTGCCGATAAAATGTAATATTACAATTTTATACCTTCGATTTACATTGTATTTTTAGAAAAGACCCGAGATTTTATCAATTTAAATCTTAAACCCTTAAAACTTTATTAATTTTGAAAACTAACAAATAGAAACATATTACTTATTCATAAAAGTTGTTTAATTAAAATGATCTCATGAATACATTTACAAGAAGGGTAATAATGAATATTATTAAATATTAATAGAAAAAAATTAATTTGTTAAATAAGAAATATAAACTATGAAACATTAACAAAAATAGAAGGGATAAAAATGAAAATTTGGTTACAATTTCTTTATATATATAGATGATTGGTATTTCTTATATGGTAAACTGAAAGCGACTTGCTAAAGTAACTTTTCTCAAAAGCAAACATATGATATTTGTTATAAATATAGATTTTATTAAATGACAAGTTGGGAAGAATGGATGGGTGATATATATTATGAGGTATTTGTACTTAACCTTTCTTATTATTATTATTATTATTATTATTATTATTATTATTATTATTATTATTATTATTATTATTATATATATGTTTTTCTCTTTGTTATGTTTAGAGAGATGATATTCATCCAATGAAGACAAATGAAGTAGATGAAAATAATAGCTTCAATGAAAGTAACTATTTTTTCGACGACATATCACCATTCGAAAAGGATATTCATCTAATGGACACAAATGAAGCATATGAAAATGAAAGTTTGAACGAAAATCGTTATTTCTTCGATGACACATCACCCTTCAAAACAAATAAGGTATAAATTCATTAGTATGTTGTTACTGTAATGTAAGTATCAAGTGGATTTGTTGCCTACTGATAATAATATAATTGTCAGGTGTTCAATTCTCGTCAAGAATTGATGGATTGGGTGCAAAATATGGCAAATACTTTAGGTTATGTCATCGTCATAAAAAATTCTAAACGTAACTGTAATGTTGTATTTCAATGTGACCGTGGAGGTACATACAAAAGTACACAAATCTCCAAAAAAAACAAGGACAAAAAAAAATTGTCCATTTAGCCTATAAGGTAAATATTCGTTAGTAGATAATTCTTGGAAGACAAAAATGATATGTAAATTTCATAACCATGAGTCGTCATTATATTTATAATGTCATCCTTATCCACGACGGCTAACTGAATATGAATGTCGAATAGTGGAAGATTTGTTGAAAAAAAATGTCAAACCAAAAGATATATTATCTGCACTAAAAAACCTAAATCCGAAAAATGTATCTACTCTCAAAACTATCTACAATGTAGACGAAAAATTTCGACGTAGGGAGAGAGAAGGTAAAACTCAAATGCAAGGTGTTATGAAATTTCTAGATCAAAATGGATATGTTTATTATAGTCGTCCAAATGTTTTGACAAATAAGTTAGAAGATTTATTCTTTGCTCATCCAAGATCATTAGAATATGGCGTGCATTTCCACATGTCTTGTTAATGGATGCAACATATAAGATAAACAAGTACGAGATGCCTTTATTGGAGATTGTTGGTGTAACTCCAACAAATATGACATTTTCCATTGCATTTGTGTACATGCAAGAAGAAAAACAGTC